CTCTAATCTTTTTGATACCCTTAATATTTTTTTTGTAAAGATCCATTTAGATTTAACGGAGAAAAAAAATAATAATGAAAAATTACATTTTGTTCGATATCTCGAAACGGTGTGGCTCTTTTGGGATAAAACTTTCCACAAAATATTCTTTCAACAGTGTTAATTTTTTCCTCTACAGCGATCGATTATGATCTGAAATCACCTGCTTATCCTGCTATACTTCTCCAAAATAGAATAACTTTGTCAAAAATCATCGTATCGAGATGTTTAAAAAAGCATTTAAAGCTTGAAACCTCTACATTTCAGACTGATACTTAAAAAATAGTCTTGTTGATATTTTGTGAAGTTACATAAACATAAATGCAGACGCATCAGATATCAAAATTTTTAACAAAATTTGCGAAATGAAGCTTTATACGATTTTTTTTTCACCGAGTTATTCAACATTGAAACAAAAACGACTCTTTTTGCTTCAATGTTGAATAACTCTATAAAAAAAATCGTAAAAGATCAATAAAAAAGCAAATTAAAGATAAAGATTCACTCTTTCGAAAGTTGTAAATCGCATTTGTGCGCAATATTTAATTCGCGTAAAATTTCGTAAATTTTGTACAAAATTTTGTGATTTAATGCGTTTTTATTTATGTTTGTGTAATTTCATTAAATATCAGTAAGATGATATTCTAAAATATCGATTAAAACAATAGAGATTTCAAGCTTTAAAAAGCATTTTTAAGCATCTCGATACGATGATTTTTAACGAAGTTATTCTATCTTGAAATTTGCCTGCTGCTTCTCAATAGAATTAAAATTATTTAAAATCAGCGTTAAAAAAATTAAATTCAAATTTCACATATCTCCGCGAAAATGATCACGAAGCGATATTCGAAAAAGCATTTTAAAGTCATAACACATTTCTTTAATTGTAAATTAAGTTTAACACTTTTTCTTTAAAATGGTTTTTAATCATTATTACAATTTTTTTACTAAGTGATTTAAAGTGAATAGTAGTGAAGTTGTCTCTAGCGCGTATACCTTTAGTGACAACTTCACTACAAGTCATAGCAACTTCATTACAATTCGCGACAACTTCGCTACGATTAAGCGCAAAGTTGTTGAAAAGTTTCAGTGGCGTAATAAATCTATCGAAAGTGCATTTTTTTTCGAAATGCGAAGAAGACAACTCACAGAAGCACAAGCAGCTCAAATTATTGCTCTGCTGCGTGAAGGATTTAATCAGCGTTATGTTGCAAGCCATATGGATATAAGTCAATCAATTGTTAGTCGTGGGACTCGTTTTCTGGACATTCGCAGTTTTACTAGACAAAGTGGTCAGGGTTGTCGACGTATTGCCAGCAGGAGAGCGGACAGATAGATCGTTAGATCAGTTCTCAATAATCCTGTTATTGTCGCGAATCAGGTGATAAACGAAATTGTCGTTTATCAACAAAATCGTTAGTGATCAGACTGTTCGGCGACGACTGCATGAAGCTGGTTTACGATCTAGAAATCGCATACGTGTTCCAGCGTTAACATTACATCATCGCGTATTCGTCTGGAATATGCACAAACTCATGTATAGTGGACTCTGTATGAAAATGGAGAAACGTTTTTATTTACCGATGAATCACGTTTTATCCTACATGGAAATGATCGTCTTATGAGAGTTTGGCGACGACACGGAGAAAGATATGAACCACGCCACACGGCAGAAGTAAGAGCTTTTAGAGGTGGCTCTATTATGATTTGAGCAGGAATTTCTATTCTTCGTCGCACAGAACTTGTAATTGCCATCAGGACTTAATTCTGTTCGTTACGTTGACGGAATTCTTCGATTATTATGTATTGCTATTGCAAAATGACATGCGAAAAAACTTTATTCTCATGCTAGATAATGCTCTTGCGCACACTGGCCGACACACAACAGATTTCTTGCAAAGAAACAATATTACTGTGTTGGGACATTCACCATTAAGTCCAGACCTAAATCCAATCGAACAAATCTGTAACCTTCTTGACCACCGATTAAGAAATCTTCTAAATCAAAATTTACAGGAATTAGGCAATATTCTGTAACGAATCTGGCGTGAAATTCCACAAAACTTAATCCGACTATTTATAAACATGCTGTCAAGAAGTGATTCGTTGTAGAAGCGGCAACACTCAATTTTTAAATGTGCGCATGCACACACAAACACACACAAACACACACACACACACACACACACACATACACACACACACACACACATCAGGTGTAAGTCCGACCGCGTAACCTCTCTGTGGTACACCTCGGATAATGCTAATACAGGCGGCAAAATTTTTAGAAATTTTTAAAGAAAGGACTAGAAAATGAACTATACACTTCAAATCATTCAGTAAACAAATTGTAGTAATGGTTAAAAACCATTCTAAACAGAAAGTGTTAAACTTACTTTACAATTAAAGAAATTTGTTATGGCTTTAAAATGCTTTTTCAAATATCGCTCCGCGACATTCTTCGCGGAGATATGTGAAATTAGAATTTAATTTTATTATCGCTGATTTTAAATAACTTTAATTTTGTTGAGAAACAGCAGGCAAATTTCAAGATAGAATAACTTTATTAAAAATCATCATATCAAAATGTTTAAAAAAACGTTTTAAAGCTTGAAATCTCTATTGTTTAGATCGATATTTTAGAATATCGTCTTATTGATATTTGATGAAGCTACAAACATAAATGAAAACGCATTAAATCACAAAATTTTGTACAAAATTTACAAAATTTTACGGCGCGAATTAAATATTGCGCACAAATGCGGTTTACAGCTTTCGAAAGAGTAAATCTTTACCTTTAATTTGCTTTTTTATTGATCTTTTTACGATTTTTTTATTGAGTTATTCAACATTGAAGCAAAAACGACTTTTTTTCGGTGAAAAAAAATCGTACAAAGCTTCATAAAAAAACAAATTGAAGGTAAAGATTTACTCTTTCAAAAGATGTAAACCGCATTTGTGTACAATTTTTAATTCGCGCCGTGGCACTTTGTAAATTTTGTAAAAAATTTTGATATCTCATGCGTCTGTATTTGTGTTTATGTAACTTCACAAAATATCAACAAGACCGTATTTAAGTATCGGTCTGAGAAGTAGAGGTTTTAAGATTTAAAATGCTTTTTTATATACCTCGATGCGATGATTTTTGACAAAGTTATTCTATCTTGACATTTGCCTATTTTTATGGGGTAGAAACAAGTGATCCTTTAATTTTGTCGAGTAGTGTAATTATAAGATATTTTTATATTAAAAATACTTAAATTATTAAATAGTTTTCAAATTAAATAATTAACTAAATAATTAGTTTTTAAAAATTGATAACAATGTTCTTGAAATATACAGCTAAATGAATTTGTTATAAACTTTAATATTTAATACCATATTAATGTTATTTTGATGCATTTAATACTGTACATTTAAAATTGTATACTTGCACTTAATATTGTATATTTTATTTATTTTGTATACATATTCTTTTATTTTTTAGCATATCGTTAATGATAAAAAAATTGCTATCTGTAAACTTCAGTCTACTTTATCTAAATAGCGTTTTTCCGTTCTGCTTTATATATATAATATTATAGGGCTCCAGATGACTACAGTGAGTAATATACAAACGTTAAGGTTCTGAAAAATATTTTCTAAACAATTATGAATTAACAGATATTAACCAGTGTTACGTCACATTGCTTGAGATTTTCTACGGTTTTAAGGTCAATGCATCTAAGCAATTTACCCGAGGATCAGAGATCAGATTGTGCGGTTAAGGATATTCG